ATTATATTATAATAATATATTATATTATTATTATATTATATATATAATTATATTATAATAATATATTATATTATTATTATATTATATTATATATTATTATATATTATTATATTAAGTTATATACTATTATATATAACCATAAAAAGCAACATTTTCAACACCTTCTCTTCTTCACTCTTCATCGAGGTCAAAAAGCTGCCGAAGCAGCCCGAGACATTTGCAACGTATACGGAGAAGGTGCCATAGTCGAGTCTACAGCACGAAAATGGTTTGCGAAGTTAAAAAATGACGATTTTGACGTCGACGACACGCCCCGCGGCGGAAGACCTTCCGAATTCGAATTTAACCCAGGCTCCCAATTTTTCGGCAAATCCCATTGAACGAAGATGATTGAGAATCGTTTTATGATCGCAGTTCATTCTTTCGGCCAATTCACGACTTGTTCAGTGACCGTCCTCCTTCGAAAGTGCTTTGAGACGCTCTTCGTCGAATTCGGAAGGTCTTCCGCCGCGGGGCGTGTCGTCGACGTCAAAATCGTCATTTTTTAACTTCGCAAACCATTTTCGTGCTGTAGACTCGACTATGGCACCTTCTCCGTATACGTTGCAAATGTCTCGGGCTGCTTCGGCAGCTTTTTGACCTCGATGAAGAGTGAAGAAGAGAAGGTGTTGAAAATGTTGCTTTTTATGGTTATATATAATAGTATATAACTTAATATAATAATATATAATAATATATAATATAATATAATAATAATATAATATATTATTATAATATAATTATATATATAATATAATAATAATATAATATATTATTATAATATAATAATATATAATAATATATATAATAATATAATATATTATTATAATATAATTATATATATAATATAATAATAATATAATATATTATTATAATATAATTATATATATATAAATATATAATAATAATAATGATATATATAATAATAAAAATTAAATTACTCGAAAAGACGATTAGCACAGTTTTGTAGAGCATTATACACTTTGTCGAACAGCGAAAAATCGTTGTAAAACAAAAGAAAATATAATAAACGCTACGAGCTTATTCCCCGACCCAATAGTTTTCGGGAACTGTGCTCGAACTAGAAATGAAAAGAAGGAAAAATAAAGTAAGAAAATAAAGAGAAGGAAATAATGGCCGAGATCTATCCTCTGCTTCGGATGCTCGATCATCTTTCGTCGTGAAAACTATCCGGTACGCCGGGTTCGAGTTCCAGGCGTTGAATTTCAACGCGTTGTTTTCCAAGGTTTATTAAGCGATTAAAGCGCACGAGAGAGAGAGATCGTCACGCTTGAATTTCTCATCCGAAACTGATTTAAAAGTTCTCCATGATCGACGGGCTTCGCGCAGTTCACCGCGACGAACGCGTTACATAATCAGCGCATAAAGCAACTTCGTCGACCGAAAAATCTGCAGCTTCGGAATAGTTTCGTTAGGTGGTAAACAACGTCGAGACGCGAGCATCCAGCGACAGTTACATCCTCTGCACAGGGACTTGCTTTCACCCTTAACCTTCTCGGCGAACGAGTAAACATGTTTTGGGAATGAAGCGCCACAGTTTGCGGGACAAAATAACGCCGCGCGTTTCTTTCATTTTTGCATACGTTGTAAACCGTATGGAGTGTATCTTAACGTGGAAATAATCGCGATGTAAGTCACGCACATTAAACAAGCTGGAATATAATAAGTTGATAAGAAGGAACGTAAATAGTTAGCTCGGTTTGCACAGACGAACCGCATATAGTCATGCATGATAAGTGTAAATATAGAAGAGATTAACGGTGTATCAGAGAACTCTATTAATAATTTCGTACGGTATGATTAAGTTCGAAACGATGCGGAGCGTGCAAAGAAGCGTTTCGTAGAGTCTCTGGTAGTTGTACCACCGAGTTATGTCATTATTGGTTTTACTGATTGAGTTACTATTTCACATATCTTCATCGAACTAACTCGATTTTGACGTAAATTAAATATTGAAATAAATTCAGTTTTAAAGGAAATTTTATTTTAAAGGAAATTTCATTTTAAAGCAAACGCGATTCTGAAACATATTCGATACCGAAGCGAAGTTGATTTTTGAAAGAAATTCAATTTTGAAACGAATGCAAATATCTGATACCAAACAATGGTAGGCTCGATAATTAATAATAAAAAGTCCTTTCAACATTTGTCCATGCACTTGAGACATGTTCTCTACGTGTACACATACGTCACAAGTATTTATTAACGCATTAACACAGTTATTAACACGATGTTTTTAACTGTATTGACGTTTTTTAAATCCATGCAGCATATATTTTGTAAACAGAAAATTTCTTTTCTTTTCTAAACATAATTAAAAGCAACTTGAAAGTAATTTTTCATAAAGATGAAAATCTTTCAATTTCCAAATGGCGTATCGATTCAAAAAAAAACTCCAGCCGAACCAAATAAATTTCCAAAAATCCTGGTAAAGTTCAATTCATTGAGTCGCGTCGCAACGAAAATGATTTTCCAAGTTCGTTATTAATATTCACCCGTAAGTGGCAATTTAGTTTGCAAATATACGTATCAAAATTGAGTTCAATAAAAATACAGAAAATATGTACCTTTTCTAAACATAATTAAAAGCAACTTGAAAGTAATTTTTCATAAAGATGAAAATCTTTCAATTTCCAAATGGCGTATCGATTCCAAAAATACTCCAGTCGAACCAAATAAATTTCCAAAAATCCTGGTAAAGTTCAATTCATTGAGTCGCGTCGCAACGAAAATGATTTTCCAAGTTCGTTATTAATATTCACCCGTAAGTGGCAATTTAGTTTGCAAATATACGTATCAAAATTGAGTTCAATAAAAATACAGAAAATATGTACCTTTTCTAAACATAATTAAAAGCAACTTGAAAGTAATTTTTCATAAAGATGAAAATCTTTCAATTTCCAAATGGCGTATCGATTCAAAAAAAAACTCCAGCCGAACCAAATAAATTTCCAAAAATCCTGGTAAAGTTCAATTCATTGAGTCGCGTCGCAACGAAAATGATTTTCCAAGTTCGTTATTAATATTCACCCGTAAGTGGCAATTTAGTTTGCAAATATACGTATCAAAATTGAGTTCAATAAAAATACAGAAAATATGTACCTTTTCTAAACATAATTAAAAGCAACTTGAAAGTAATTTTTCATAAAGATGAAAATCTTTCAATTTCCAAATGGCGTATCGATTCCAAAAATACTCCAGTCGAACCAAATAAATTTCCAAAAATCCTGGTAAAGTTCAATTCATTGAGTCGCGTCGCAACGAAAATGATTTTCCAAGTTCGTTATTAATATTCACCCGTAAGTGGCAATTTAGTTTGCAATTAGACGTATCAAAATTGAGTTCAGTAAAAAATACCAGCGCATAGAAAAAGCACAGAAGAGTTCGTTTCTTTCAAGGACGAATAAAATATGTCGCTTAATCAGCTGGAAATTCCGACGATGAAAATTCGTCTGCGACATAACGATTATGCACGCAACGTGCTATCATTTTGTTCCGCGCTGTATTCGTGTCGATGCACACGAGCAGTTCAAAGAAACGTGCAATGGAATGCACGTAACGTCCCTTCGGTCCACGTGTTCCCGCGGTATTAAATTGCACGCGTTCGAATTGCTATTCCTCCCGCTATCTTCTCGCTGACAACGACGAACGTTCTTCGTCGCACAGTGGTGCGCCGTTTCGCCAAAAAGCGGCTATTGTTTTCAGCCGAGGCTTCGAAGCCGCTTACGTAAAAAAAGTGTTGCAACAATTTTTTTCACGGTAATTCAATCTTCGTTCTCCACAAACTAAAACTTTTTCGACTTTTTTCTACCTTCTCGACTTTTTCGATTGTTTTTTCATTTTTGGATATTTTGAACTTTTCTATTTTTTCTTTTTTATATTTTTTTTTTACCTTTTTTGACTCGCATCGACTTGCACCGTTTCTGCTTTATTTAATAAATAACAAAAGGTAATTCGATTCCTCGAGTAAAAGTAATATAATTTATACAATTATACAAATTGTATAAATTATACATTATATTTACAGTATTTATATTTATAACATATTTATACAATATTTATACAATTATACAAATTGTATAAATTATACATTATAAATTATA